AGATCCGCGGGCCTGGGAGTCTTGTGGGGGACATCAGTAAATTGTTCTTTTGAGCGTCGTTATCACGCCTTATCACAAGCCACCATCTCCTGCATGGTTTAGCAAAGACCCACTCGGAATGGGTATCGTTCCGACAACCCTGTAACACTTAGTGCTTTTTTCGCCGCTCAGGCCCAGCGTCTTATCAAGGTCCACAAGGAGATTTTAGGGGTCCAACCTGTCGTTGTGAAGAGCGCCACGCACGTTGTTGGTGGCGTTCATTAGCTCATTACCCAACCCACGATACGAGCTAGACAAGGCAACGGTCGACCCACGCCATTAATGGTGAATGGCGCTTGTTGCGAGACTTCATATCATAATAACTACTCACCCTGTCTTGATATGCATATGTGTGCTCAGCTGTGAGATAAGGTCCACAAACAAACTTGCCATGTAGTTACAGTAGCAGTGCGGAGTGTTATATGAGAGGCCACAATTCGACCAATAAAGTGATCTGCAGCGTAACTGCCTTGTAATATTTGTATTATTCTTTCGAAATTAAATGGGACCATGAGATGGTACTGTTTAAGGCTGTTCGCTTAGGCATTGTTTGAAATGAGTATCCCCTTGCTGGGTAAAACTGCGAGTGAAGTAATTCGGGGAAATAACAATGCAAGGCATGTATTAGTTGTCTCGCTCCGGGATTCACCAAAGTGACTGCTCACGCTTTGACCCTTGACACTCCCCCTGTTGCAGGTCGTTACAGTTTGCTTCTGCGCCGAAAAAGCCAACGATGCTTGACGCTCGTGAAAGCCTCCGATAGAATCCCGGTCTGTGACCGTCGCTTGCATCTACCGGAATCCATACATGGCTGACCTTGATTAGACTCATCAGCTCAGTCGCCATCTCGTACCCTGATAACCAAATCTAAAATCAAATCTCTGACGATAACAGCGTTGCACGGTCTGCTAAGCGGCCGCCTGGAAACGAGGCCCGGACTGTTGCTGAGCCCAACAACTCTCTGGCAAGGCCGATAGCTGCTTGGTTTAGTTCGCCTCAAGCCATTCCCTTGTTCGAGAGTTCAATAGTCTACGGTGAAGAGAGTATTCTTGGATACCATCGCGACAAGCATGGACCCGTGTAAGCTGAAAAGCCTCTGTTGATGGCAAGATTGGCTGGGGGCCCCTATATAACCCAGATTTCAATTTCCGTGACTTACATTCATTCCATAACTGGCCCCGTCTCTTTCCTGCTCGACTCATTATGAGCAATCGTCTTTCTTCCAAGTTTATCGAGGACAGTACCATCCGAGACAACATGTTTGACCGGGCGACCTTGGCTGCTCTTCAGCCTAGTTCAGGGCCCACTTCAGGCATTGCAACCCCTGATCGAACCGGCAGTACAACACCTTACAGTGTCTCATCTCCTCCCAGAGGTAGACGCACTACGTCGGACCTCAAGTGGAATGCTTCTCGATCAAGGCCTGCTTCCATTGCTCCCTCACGTCACTCCCTCATGGGAGACTGTGATGTATCAGACCCGTCTATGGTAAGTTTAGTTGTTTGATGGCATATTGGCTCGTACTGACTGGCACTGGCAACTGCAGGTTGCCAAGTATGCTTCACGACGTGCAACACTTCTCGGCTGGTTCGATGAGCCTGTTGAAAGGACCGTCGCCAACGGTGTCTCACTCACTTGCGTCGCCATCAAATCGGACGAAAGCTATGTCTTTCAACCCGCAGATGTAGATCCAGATCTTGCAGGTGCTGTCTCAAAGCTTGGTGTTGAAGCATGCATGTCCATCTCATCTGAGACACTGTCCAACATCATCAAGTCCATTCCCCCAACCCAGCGATCACTTGTCTCAGATGTAACTGGAGCCCGTATCCCCATCGTTCCCAACTTGATGGGTGTCACTACTGAGCTGTCTCACTACTCACGTGCATGCATCGCCCACGAGGAACGCATTGTTCTTGTTTGGTCTCAGGATCCCAAGGCTATCATCAATGTTGCCGACCATGTCCAACAAGAAGTCTTCGAAATTGTTAGTACACGCCTGCAGTCTACCTACATGGAACTCATACTCATACATACTACCTACATAGATGCGGACCTCCTCCGATGGCCCACTTGAGAAAGACATTCCCACTCGATCTACCTCGACCCAGCGCAGCTCTAGTGTTGCACCAACTCCTTACTACGTCCGCGGCGGCCTCGATGAGAAGAATGAGATCTTCCAACGTGCTGTTGCCCTCGAGGAGAATGAAGATGATGAAGCCGATATCGAGAGAGCTGCTGCTCCCCGACCCAGACTCAAGATGCATGCTTTCAAGGTCACCGTCGCCATCATGCTCGTTGTCGTCACTCAGTCATTGGGTGTTACCAAGGTACGGTGACATATGTCTTCACGCGTTGACACTGCTGACACTCAACAGCTTCTCAACGAGTACTTCTGGGATGGGGATGCGACTCGCTTCGCTCTTGTCTCCACGATTCCTCCTTTGACTCTATTCTCCCTCTTTTTCTTCCTTGTTCTGGTCACAAGTCTGTTTCAGCTCTTCCTCCCCGTCAGCGTCTGTCTCAAAAACTCTCGCTTCCACTCTGCTACCAAGCCCAATCCCAAGCGCCATCGCGATTATGAGCTGCCTCACATCACCATTCAGATGCCTGTCTACAAGGAAGGCTTGAAGGGTGTCATTGTGCCCACTATGATCAGTGTCATGGCTGCCATTGAGTACTATGAACAGCAGGGTGGAACGGCCTCTGTCTTCATCAACGATGATGGTATGCAGCTCATCCAGACTGATCTTGCTGAGGCTCGCAAGGCTTATTATCGTGAGAACGGCATTGGTTACACTGCCCGACTACCAAACCTCAAATCTCCCAAGAAGGGTTCCTGGTTTCGTAGAAGCAAGGAGTCCACTACTGAAAGTGTTGAGAAGCCTGAGTCAGAGATGACACCTCAGGAGCTTGCCAACAAGATCGGCTTCCAACGTCGAGGCAAGTTCAAGAAGGCCAGTAACATGAACTACGGTCTTGCTTTCTCCAACCACGTTGAAGACGAGATGGCCCGCTTGATTCAGCTCGAATGTGAGCAGCGTGGATGCACTGAGGCCGACTTAACTGTTGACGATGACAACCTGCTCTACGAACGTGCCTTGGCCAACATGCTTGCCGAAGACAATGGCCGCACTTGTAAGTATCATTCGCTCTTTGCCTAATAGCCTGCTAACACTATCACAGGGGCTGAGGGTAACATTCGTATCGGCGAGTTGATCTTGCTCATTGACTGCGACACACGCGTTCCTGTTGACTGCCTCTACTACGGTGCCCTGGAGATGCATGAGAGTCCCGAGGTTGCTATCCTCCAACATGGATCCGGTGTCATGCAGGTTGTTCACAACATGTTCGAGAATGGCAGTAAGTTCAACCTCTTGTCTGAGTCTTCATCTACTGACAAACTTAGTCACCTACTTCACCAACGTTGTTTACACTGCTATCAAGTATGGTGTCGGCTCTGGCGACGTCTCTCCCTTCGTCGGTCATAACGCCTTTCTTCGTTGGAAGGCTCTCCAAGACATTGCCTTTACCGATCCAACCGACAATGATCAGGTTGAGTGGTGGTCTGACTCTCATGTGTCTGAGGACTTCGACATTAGTCTTCGCATCCAGATGAAAGGCATGATCGTTCGCCTTGCGACCTATCATAACGGCGGCTTCAAAGAGGGTGTCTCTCTTACACTGTATGACGAGTTAACTCGCTGGGAGAAGTACGCTTACGGCTGTAATGAGCTTGTGTTCCACCCTTTGTAAGTGCCTTGCGCCGTGTTTTGATCCAATGCTAATGTTGCACCTAGCTATCAATGGCCTTACAAGGGCCCTGTCACCCGGCTGTATCTCCGATTCCTCTGGAGCAATATCCCCATCACTAGCAAGGTCACCATCACAGCATACATCTTCACCTGTGAGTATATCTATTACGCGTTGTCCAAGCATATACTAATACCACCAGACTATGCCATCGCTTCAGGACTCTTCTTGACGACTGCCAACTACATTATCATTGGACTGTTCCCAGACAAGCTCGACCACCTTTATATGCCTTCCTGGGGTATTTGGCTGTCCCTTGTCGTGATCTTCAACGGTCTTGGTTCCGTCGCCTTCAGTATGGCCCGGCATCAGCTCAAGGAGGAGGTCTTTTGGAAAGCATTACTTGATGCCATCAAGTGGCTGCCCTTCCTGATTATTTTCTTTGGTGGCATCAGCTTAAACTGCGCCAAGGCCTTGATCTGTCATGCATGCAGCATTAACATCGAGTGGGCTTCAACTGCTAAGGAACCTGGACCAAGCGGTTTCTTTATTGGGCTTGATAAGATGATCGCAAGCTTCAAGTACACCTGGATTATCTGTATTCTCATTGCCGCGATGATGATTTACTTTGCTGTCGGTGCACCCTGGGGATATACTATCACGCCTGGTCCTCACTCAACTGCTATGGTAGCTATCATTCCTCTAGCTATACAGATTTGCAGTGCTTTCTTCCTGCCTCTTTCCCTTGGGCTGAACTAGAGAGATAATAGAAGGATTATAGAATTAGTATATAGAATAAAGTATTAGGTACATAGAGGAATAAAGGTTTATATAGCAAGGTTATAATAATTTATAATATTGTTTTTATTATTACATAAGAATTATGTCTATAGACAGTTATATTATATTAAGTCCAGGGAATCGCCAGTAACAGTGCTGCCGAGACTGCTGCTAACTATACAGTAGACTCAGGGGGGAGGACTAGTACTACTGGAGTAGGCAGCCGTAACCGCAGCGGCCGTGACCTTGGGGTGGAATTTTATAATAACAGTAAAGACAGTTAAAGATATCAAATTACTATATAGCGATTCCAAGGCAATATTACCATTTCATAAGTCTATATTGAATTGTTAACTAGTAAAGATACTCGTCTTCCGTCAGCACAGACAGAGCTATAGCTCCTTTATCTATTAAATAATGTTCTCAAACGTTTAGGCACTGTTGCGCTCTGCTTCCTCGGCCAAAACCTCAGTCTTGCTCTCCCGGGGCAGCAACTCAGCATCCTCACCGTCGAAGATAAATGCCATCTGCTCAAGAGTATGGCCTCGAGTCTCGGGATAGCAGAAGTAGGCAGTAAGAAGGAAAGCCATGAGCAAGGCGATATAGACGATATAGTACTTCCAACCGATGCTGTCAAGTGCAATAGGATTGACAAACATGTTGAAGATAGCAGCGAGGATACCAGAGATCCACGAGACGCTGAAACCTCGTGATCGGAGGGCAAAAGTCCATATCTCGATAGGGTATGAGATAGCAAGAGGGGTACTAGATAGTGTTGGTCAGACATTGATCAGAGAATATGCTGCTCTAGAAGACTTACAGGGCAATATCATAGCCAGCAAAGAAGATGAAGAGAAAGGGAACCACAGCTGTTCCAACGGCAGCGCTCCCAGTGCTGGCGAAGGAACCGGATAAGCCAGTAATGACGATGTAGCTGACCAGCATGGTAATAGCGGAAGTAAGAAACAAAGGCCGTCTCCCTAATTTTTCGACAGATACAGCGGCACCGCACGCCCATAGCAGGTTCCAGAGTTGGAGGCAGGCGTTGATAAGGGTCTGGTTAGTGACACTGGTGATGCCGATAGTGTTGAGGACGAGGGGAAGATAGTATGAGACGACACCGTTGCCACTCCACTGACTGAAGATACCCAAAGAAACAGAAATGAGCACCCTCCATCGGTTACCCTTAGTCTTGAGCATATCGGCATAGCTGGCGGTGGCATGGGCTTCCTTTTCAGCCCGGATGGTATTGGCGATTTCGCTCGTCTCGAAGTCGACAAGAGGTGAGTCGATATCTCCGCCTGAATGGTGCTTAGCAATGACCTGCCTGGCCTCCTCAACGCGATCAACAGATGCAAGCCATCGAGGAGACTCTGGGGCCATGAGAGTTCCTGGGAGAGCCAGAGCCGGAATAAGGATTTGCAAAAGCGACGGAAGTCTCCAATCCCAAGAGCTAGCATAGTTCCTAGTAGCGAAGGTGACCCAAGCAGCGATGACGCTGCCGAGGTAGAAACCGCACTGGTAACAAGCGGCCGAAACAGATCGGTGAGTGGGAAAGGCGATCTCGCTAATGAGCAACGGAGCACTAGCGGTGTACCATCCTGAAGCGCAACCAAGGATACCTCGAGCGGCGATGAAGGCGGCAGGGCTATGAGCAGCGGTTTGTAAGGTTACACCGACAACAAGGAAGACATAGCCAATATAGATTCCAGACTTGCGGCCATACTTATTAGATGTCCAGGCGGCGATGAAGAAACAAACGCCGTTCAAACTCCAATAGATGGCATTGATGAATCCAAGCCACGCGCCCTGTGGATGGTCCATGAAAGTATTCCACTTGGGAAGAGCCAGGAGACCTCCCATCATAGAGCCATCGTAACCATTTGCAGAAGCTGGTGAGGTCAGAACAATGAAATACAAAGGACTGAGGGGGTTCGTCGCTTACAGAACAGGACCAGAGACAGGACAATAAAGTTGAGCTTGATGAGGTGGGTTTGTCGATACCAGGGCTTGCCATCAGAAGGCAAGACACCTGCAAGATGCTGGGCGACGGAGTTAGCTCCCTTGATCTGGACGTCCTGGACACCCATGATTTCAAATTTGGTTGAGATGAGGTCGAGTGCAGGGATTGATGGGTAGATGTTGAAGCGATGATGAAGAAGAAGGTCGTATTGACATGGGAATGTGGATATCTTTATAGATGTTCTTATCTAGATCGTCTGGCAAGGAAGGGGGAATATGTTGAGGTTATCTTGGTTCGCTTAGACCGTAGTTCCGTTGCTATCAGGTGGACACTTGAGGTTGGTCCGTGGACCGTGATATCCGGGGAATGGGGGGGGGGGATGGTCGGGGAAGCCTAGTCCTTGAGACAGGTTCGTTTTGTGCTGGGAATGTCTGGGTTTGTGTTCTCGTTGGTTGCTATGCACCTAATTTAATTATCC